AATTACTCTCCGCGTTTTTCCCCCGCGACACTTGCCGCACACGACGGCCCCGCGTGAAAGCGTCATTTGCACATCGCGAGGTTTCATATCCTTCGTGTGTCGGAATGTTACGTAAGATCTCCATAAGTCGATGGCACGCGATCAATGGTGAGTAACCTTCCACGGTAGGTACCGTCAGCCCGTCTGAATTAACCAGGACAGTGATAGATCGAGGCGGGACTCGCTTTGGCTGCCGTGTACATTCGGTATACCGTATATACGCGTTATGTATATACGTTATATGGATACGTGTACGCGCGTTCGTCCCAATGGACATAACCGAGTGGTTATCCCTTTCGTCCTGACGTTCGCCAAACTGGATACCTTAAGGGATCCGTAGGGACCGCGGCTGTAATCTCCGCGATGTAGTCTCTTTGACAAACACGACGCCCGCTTTCTGTGTCTCTTTTTAACGTATTCGTATTATATTAACATCGCTTGTGCATATATTCATCGATATTTAAGGGAGAAAGAGGGGGGGGGAGAGAGAGAGAGAGAGAGAGAGAGAGAAGCGTGACCGCGATTGGAAAATTACGTTATTAATCAAAGTAATGCAGATTCGATTGAATCGTGAAACACGATCGCACGTGCGCGCGTACGTCGCTCTCTCCGTTATTGTCATTACGCTGCGCTGTAATACACGTAATATCATCTTGCCTTTCCACCGACTATCGGTTAATTACGAAATTCTCGCGTTACCCGCGCGCCTATTTTAATCGCTTTATTAATGCATCTCGCGTACAAATGTGCTATTTATAAAAAGGAGCCCCGCCGCGTGTAATTACACTCGACTCGGCTATCGCGCGGTCGCGCTCTATCGTCCTCGTTATTTCTCTTCGTTATCACGTCCTGCGCCCGTGCGCGCCTTGCGATCGCGGATTGGCATTAATTATGAAAAATTGCTCGTAACGCGCGGCGGCGCTACCTCGGGGCCCGGTAAACACGCGCGGTCGTGCGCGCTTTATTACATCATTATGAACGTTCTATTAATATCCCATCTAGTAACATTAATAATTCCATTGCACAGTGCTCTACGCTAAACGGCGCGCGTTTACGCTCGTTCTCTCGTTAATGATGCGAGGACGCGCGCTCATTTGGCTCTTTCTCTGCCATCCTCTCTCCGTCCCTCCCTCCCTTCCTTCCCCTTCCCCTTCGCCCTTCGCTCGTTGTCTCCAGGTAAGCGGACATTGCCGTTTTTAACATTAAGGCACCAGCGCGATTCGGAGCACGCGCTCTCTTCCCTCTTCCGCTCATATGCGCCCTCTTACGAGGGTGACTTTTCGGATCGTGGCGACGCTCCTCTTTATCATGGCTCATCACTTCGCCTACGGTTGTCATAACCGCGTTTAGACCGCGGCTCGCCCAAATAGCGGGATCACTCCGAGATTGCCTCACTAACGAGAGGGCGCTGGTATTTTCAAAGGTTTCCAAAGGAGACATTTCGTTCCCCGCGACGGAGGGATATATCGGAGGGTGATCTTCGACATTACGCTTTTATCCGACGCCACTCCGGAAATGTTCGATTTCTGCGTCGCGGCGCAGGCGAGAGTCCTGCGGCGGTTGAAACTTTCATGCCGGAGTAACCCGCTGCGATGTATTATTTATCTCCGCCAGCAGCCCCCGTCGCTCGCGCGCTATCGTGTTGCGCTAGCGCGCGCAGTAACGCTCCCCGGTTAATTCGTAATGCGTCTTAACGGATATCATACAGCCGGCGGCGCCCTCCCTCTTCCTTCGGGCTCCCCGGGCTCTGAAAGTGCGCGCGGATTTACGAGCGACGCGCGCCACCTCGAAAATGAGTATCGGCAGTCGCGCGCGCGCGCGCGCGACCGAAATCCGGTAATCCTCTTCGCCCACCACCCCCTGCCGTTTCCACCGCTCCTTCCTCTCTTTCCGATTTAATCCAGGGGAGCCGATGCATTAATGTATATATCGCGAGGCATTCGCGTACACGGCGAGAACCGCGCGCGCGCGCGCGCGGCCACGCTCGATATATCGGCTCCTAAATGGATTCTCGCGCACTTATATACCGTCCCGCGTCCGTAACGCGTCTACGGCTACGGTATACCCGCTATTACCGCGCCATTGAGTCGCATCGCTTATTTAATACGAGCCAAAATTCCCGTCTGAATGGATCGCGAGCTATACGCGCGGCGACGACCCGCATATACGCACTCGTCCTCCATCAAATTCGACGTTCGAGCGTGTTTCTCCGGTGGGGGGAGGAGGAGGAGGAGGAGGGTTTGCACGCTGCGAGGGAAGATGAATATCTTTGCCTGCGCTGCGCTACGGCGCTTCCCTCGCGAAACTTCTACGGCCGGGGCTGCTCCGCGCGCACGTTGCGCGATTGTATCCGTCTCGTCTTTATCTTTCCGCCGTATCTTTCTTCTATGCTAACTCCCGACTATTCATTTCGCGTCTTCGAGAGAGCATCTACTAGCGAGCGCGCTTCGAGTACCGTAAATAAATTCTCGGCACAGCCTCTTCTCTCCTTTGAGAGGTACTTTAGCGAGCAATAAACGTGCGGCGCACAAAGGAGAGTAATTTTTGATAATGAGAATGTTTCGAATTGCGAGGGGGAGTCCTACGCGAAGCATTCGCCCGGCGTCAGCCGAAAAGCCGAAGCGGCGTCGAGGGTGTTTCGGTTATTTATTTATGCAGAGTTCGTTTCGATTCCCCGAGTTATGCTCGGGGAATTTCGATCTGCGCATCGCAACACTGCACCGACGATGAGTCGTTGAACTTGATGTTGGACATGTGTGTTTTTCTAATCTTCTTCTCTCTCTCTCTCTCTCTCTCTCTCTCTCTCTCTCTCTTTTTGCTCGCGGAACTTTGTTCTTGAGCAAACGTTCGTTTTTATACGTATGCACACACACACACACACACATTGCTTATCGATCTTTTTCTTTGGCGATTAAGTTTTTTAACGGTCTTTTCATCTCTTCGTGTTCTCCAACGAGTGCTTCAGGCTGTCTCGGCTGTGCGGTTAGAAGCCACTGCCTCGATAAACATCGGCCGATTTCTTGGAAAGTTTCGCGCACTGTGTTCAAAGTTTATTCGAAACGATGCCGAGCCGAACCGGTTCGAAAAGGATTTCCGCTGGATTAATCGAAGGCATTTCGGGATAGCAGTAGTAGCGGCGGCTTCAGCGGGAAGAGAGGGAGAGAGGGAGGCAGGCAGGGAGGGAGGGAGCCAAACGTGTCGTGGTAAATTTTCGGCGGCACGTGAGCGTCGGGCAACCGAAGGGAATTAATTGCTCAAGTTCGCCTCGATTTTCCTCGGGTCGTTAAAGAGCCGTTTCCGCCGTTAATTGAACCGAGAGGCGATTTTTTACGGTCGGATCTTAATTGCGATTTTAGATTAATCCCCGTTATTAACGATCGCGCCCGGCGGAAGTGGCGTGCCACGCCGAGCGGGTGTAGCTTTATGTAGCTGCGATCGGAGACAGACCGAATTTATATTCGTTAAATTCACGCTCCAAGAAAGATTCGCGCCGATCCCGCCGGTAATTTTGGATGACCGCGTTCTTCGGACGATTCCGCCCGCCGAGTAGCTCGCCGGCGCGGCGCGGCGCGGCGCGGCGCGGATAATTAATTTTTGTACTTCCGTAACGCGTCTCCGCGATATATAGCGCGAGATAACGACGATTTATATTCTCCCCGGCGCGGGGGCGCGTATATTTTGTAGCCGGTGTTCCTCCGTCAAACGCGTCTGATACGTGCACGTACGATCTCTCTCGTTTCCCCGTCCAAATTTTTTTTCCCTCTTTTACAACGAAAATTTTATCGTACCGGCAGGATGGAAATCACGAGATATTCGCGCGGTGATGTTCGTAAATCGGATTTTTCGTGCTCGCGCACGTCACCACGTGCGTTCGCTGAACGCGTAGACGCGAAATCTTCGTGAAATCAATTAATTGTAATTAGGCCGCCGCCGCCACCGCCGCCGCCGCCGCTTCTGCCGCTTGATTTATGACCGGGGCTACTGTACGCAGCACGTTGTAAATTAATAATCCCCGCGCAAAACAGGCAGTGGCAGTATTCAGCGAATATTTAATTGCGATATCGGTGAACGAGCAATTGCGCGCGCTGTTCTCAGGCAGCCGCTTAAATTTAAATCAGACCGAATTAACGCGACTTTAAATCAGTTATGATAGCCGATGAGTCTGCAGGTCGGGTGGCGCGCGTGCGCGAACATTTAATTGCAATTTGACGGCGCCGGACGGCTTCAAGGTGACATGCGATTCCGCATTCACACGGATTTAATTTCCGTTCTCGCGCGCGCGCACGAACGACGACGAGTTCCCGGCAAAATCGCGTGTTAAGCTCGGCTAATTGCGGAGCTTCGGAAAACCGAGAAAGAACCGGCGTTAATTCGCGCCGACGCGACGTTACTTCATCGTTCGTGCTGTCCCGTCAATATTAATAGCTGAAAGAATATAGTTTGCGTGTGAGCGACGCTGTGCAAAAATCACAGTGCACGCGGGAGAGCGAGAGCGCAGAAAGATACCGCTGGGCAGTCAGCGACGTGCGTATAATTAAAGCAATTAAAAGTTTATCGAGGAGTCGTCGGTTAGCTTGATAAGCGGCTTCACGGTGCTAATCTTCTTAGGAATTTAATAATATCCTCGTGACATTTTTCGCGAGGTACCTCGGCGAGGTCTCTCGAGTCAGCCGGCGGCGTCGTGCGACGTCGAGACGCATCATCGACGCGCCCTGAGAATCCATGCGAACGCCGCCGCCGCCGTCACCGCCCCGTCATGCGCAACTTTCAACCTGGCCTTGCCGTCGCGGTATCGCGAGTACATGAAATGCGAGATTAATTGTTGCGAGATTGCATGGCCGGATCGAATGAAAAACTTTAGCGCGCTTCGGTTCAATCAGTTCCGCGATAGGGACGGGCGAACTCCGACGAAGTAATAACTCCGGCTGAACTCTTGTTATTACCGTTATTATTAAACTCACCTGCGCTGCAACCATGCCCTCCTTCAATCTCCTGAGATCTGTGTGGCTCCAGGGGCTTAGTGCCCAAGGAGGGGTGTCCCTTAGGTCATCAAACCTGAACTCCCTCAGCTGGTTCTTCAGAAACTTCCGTATATTCCAGGGTAGGTCGTTGTGCCTGCAGAAAAGACGGAAAATATCGGTCGATACGCATGCGTGTACGTACGTATGTATGTGTGCACACACGTCTTGCATGCATGCATGTATGTATAGGGTGGCGCCGCGTCCGACATTTTTCTGCATTTTAAACTTTTTAAGCTAAACATGGCACTCGCCGCGCCGCGCAAAATTGTTGGATAAATTTATTCCGCTTGGAACATATGTACGTCTTTTACGCATGACATGGAATACATTTTGCGCGGCCGAAACTTCCCGACGTGCGCTTCTTCCCCAATAAACTTGTTCTACCGGGTTACACCGGGGGCGCTTGGGCGCGCCCAGGCTTCGCTGAGAAACAAAAAAGAGGAGAGAGAAGGGATGCGACTCTCCCGCGGGGCGCCCGGTCGACGACAACGACAACAAACCCGCTTTCGGATATCTTAGACTTTCAGACCGTTTCACGCATCTTGGCTCTCTCGCGCGAAACGTATTTATTTTACTTTTGACGTACTTTTGAGCTCGAGTTTCTCGTCACTCGCTGAGTGTTCGAATCTCGTTTGAAAAGAAAGAGAGAGAGAGAGAAAGAGAAAGAGAGAAGGAATATTCGATGTCGTAATTTTATTCCTCTCCGCGCGGCCGAAGAAACTCCGAGTGTAGTCCAAGTTTGGCCTCTACAACAGCATTACTCGATGTTCAACTCGGCACAACGTGGCGTGTGTCCACAGCGCGGGCCGGACTCCGCTCTGGTCGCGTCAAACTTATTCCACGCGAAGTTACCGGGTTAGATGTTCCACGCTTGGGGCAAGAAACGCGTCCGCATTCTCGCCGAGAGCCCGCGTTAATTCGCCGGCACGTTGAATACCGAAGTTCTCTTTTCCGCGACGTTTCCGAGCGTGAGCGTCGCGTATCTTATACTCCGCCGACTCCGGCGACTGCCGAATTCTTCGTCCCTTCGCGTTAACGCTGCGATAGCTGTTGATAGCTGCGATAAAGCGATAATCGCTCGTTCGTTCGTTCGTTCGTTCGGTCGTTCGGTCGTTCGCTCGCTCGCTCGCTCGCTCGCGCCGAGACGTCAGATATTTTTCGCATTCCCGAAATTTACCCTAGTCCTCGTGAGTTAGCAGACACACAACGGCATAGTTTGACGCGAAGGAATTTCGGCGCTCGATGCGCCCCGGCAACGAAGAGGTGCGCGAGCACGCACGCGCGCCCGCTCTGGATGCGGGGGATGCTGTGTGTGCGTGCGCGCATTGTTACCCCAGCAAATCTGCCTCGAATCAGCGATGGATCTGCCGGCCGTTTGTAACTAACCGCACTGCACCGCATCGCGCCCTACCTACCAGCCTACCATCTGCGAATGCACTTTGCATGCGGCGATAGGTGCCTAACTTCCAGCAGAATTAGATAACCAAACGAGCATTCGCGCGCGTAACATCGACCTCTCCCTCCTCCCGTCCCCTCGCTAACCTACCCTCCCCCCATCGCCTCGGCCTTTCGAATAATAGTTCGATCATTTTCGGCGGGAGAGAGTGTGTTGGCAGTTTGCGAATGTTCGATCTGATTTAAATATAAAGGACGCGCGCCATTCTGCCCGACATCGCGCGATTGCAACTACCTTCAACTATCCCAGCTTTATGTCGACGATAGGATGAGAGAAGTAGAGAGAGAGAGAGAGAGAGAGAGCGACGAGAGGGGGGATCGAACAATTTTATTATCGCGACGTAAACAGAATACACACACACACACACACACACGTGCGCGCGCGTTTGATATGCGGAGCGTTCCACCAAGAGAACACTCGGTGCGCTTTGAGTTATCGTCAAGCGCGATGCTTTGTTACCTTGGCGTTCTTGGGGTAAAAAAATTTATCTCTCGACGCACGACGGTCAGAACTTTACGAGGGTGGAAATAATTTCGGGATGAGGGCGCGGGCGCAGAAAGAGAGAGAGAGAGAGAGAGAGACTGAGGAGAGGGGAGAAGAAGGGCAAGGAGAGCAGAGAGGGGGGGATGCAAGGGGTAGAGGTGGGCGGGATAAATTTAGTAGGCCGCGGAACCGGTAAGCCGTCTGCAAACGCATACGTACACTGGTCGGCTAAACAGATACAATGAGACTTCCTGTATGCATAGAGAGACCGAGTCCTTTTGTCCATCGGATCGTCCATGCAGGATAGTGTGACCAAACGCCGGTAAAGCCCTTTGTTTCATGTGGCGTAGCGTGCTGCGCGCGCGCGCGCGGCCTCGAGACACACTCGCTGTGTGTATCTCCGGAGAAGCGCGCGAGAATATATCCATAAAATGTTCTCTCGAACAAAGCGCCGCAATTCCACAGGGCTCCGCGAGTTGCGCGAGTTCCGCGTACAATTAATCCACCTCCGATCAACGATCGCGTGCCTGAGCTTCCGCTGCGGCGACACTCCAGCGCACAGATTTCGGGACGAGCGACGTGTAATCGTCATTTGGCTCAAATAGCGTTCTTCCCGCGGACTCCGGCTCGAGCGAGCGTCCATTAACGAGCGGACGCGCAGGAATTTTTAGTAATACGTAAGAGTGTTCGCGGCCGTTGGCCGGCGGCCAGAGTCTCGTGTTCGCGTTCGCGTCGATAACGGTAACGACGCGGAAATTAGCCGCACGCTTAGGCCGGACCGCGATCGCGAAAATCGAAAAGGGAAACCTCGCGCACTTGGGCGCGGGGCCGGGGTATTCGTGTAAGACGACGGATTTATCGGACTTATCAGAGCGATCCGGCTTCTAATTTATTCACCCTTGGCGCGACGAAGCGAGCCTCGCGCGTGTCCGCGTAAACGCTCGTGTTTATGTCTTCCATGATTATAAATCGGGAGAAACCGGCTTTTCATTGAATTTGGAATAGACCGTGGAAGAGAGAGAGAGAGAGAGAGAGAGAGAGAGAGAGAGGGGAAGAGAGAGAGAGAGAGAGCGCTACATGATTTACGGTTAACCTCGCTCGCCGGTGTTACACTGTTCCGCGCGAAAACGCGCTACAGTAATGATTATGAAGGTATTTCCGCATTATTAAAGTACGTTTCCGTTAACTCCTCATGCATATTCAGCAGGGCGTGACTAAGAGGCGAGATATATCCGACATTAATTTCGGCTTACGCGCAGCAGCGGAGTTTCCGCACTTATACGAAAATACAAGATCGCGCGCGAGGACCGTCTCGCCCTCGTTCGATGATTAACGTTACGACTCGACTGCGGCGGCAAGTCAGCCGCGGGCGAATTTTTCCGCGCCCGAGCTCGGCGCGACTCGCCGCTTCTCGGCGCAATTTCCGACTAATTAACTCGTGCATTTAATCGCGGAGCGTGGAGCGTGGTCCATTCTTACTCGGTAATCAACACGTCGTCGCGTTTCCGCGATGATCGAGCTTCGTTGTCGAAATGCGTAGCGTCTCGCGATGGTGCGTGCGCGCGAATAACGATTGCGCGACGACACACGCGCGTATCGACAGACCGGCATTTTTTGCGGTCGGACGCAATGAAATTTGATTGATCGCGAGGGGGCGAGCGAAAATTAAAAGAGCGCGACGGCTTGCACGCGCCGCAAGCGTCGAATCGCGAGGCACGAGGACGAGGCGAAATATTGCGCGCGCGCTATTCATAAAGCGCGCGCATTCCTAGCCGTCAACATTTCACGGCTTACGCCGTCACGCGAAATAATTCGCGCTTCGAACGCTAAACGCGACGCGCGTTGGTAATCACGGGGAGTATCCACTGATCTCTTCGTACTTTTAAGTTTCGATCCTGTGATTTCCTCATACATATTCAGGAAGAGATGCAGTCGCTTGCTCGCTCGCGCTTGAGAACCGAGATAGCTCCGGTGTCGATTTCGCGAAATTGCCGACGCATTTTCGCCGTTTGCCGAAGCGACGAGGGGTTACCGGGCGTTGGTGGGCGGTGAGCGGTGGTTAATTGGCAAAGCGCGATAAGGTGGTCTCCCTTCAACCGCTCTCCTCTCTCTCTCTCTCTCTCTCTCTCCCCCTTCCCCCACCCCCTCCTCCCGGATATGCATATGAATGGCGAGTTCCGTTCGCAGGCTACGGGTTACGTTACGTTACTCAGAATGCAAATAAGTCTTCCGCGGCCCTGCGCTCTCCGCGCGCGCCGACACGGTCCGCGCAGCTATCGCTTCTGCGGGACGAATGCGGGGAGTTTAACGGCACGATCATTTCCCAAGGGGTTTCCAGCAGCCCGGGAAAAGTGGCCGTTGAAAACAGTTCGGGTAAAGAGCGACAGGTCGGTCTGCTCTTAACTTCGCGAACGAGACCGGCCGATCGGCGCGCAACGCAACGCAACGCGGATTTTCCGGCCTCCTGCTCGGGAAACGCGTTTAACGTGCGCTGACAAATCGCTTCGCTCGCGCTCGCCTCTTTTCGGGAACGTCAATCGTGGCTGAGCATACAGCCTGTCGGGATTATTCTTCGTTGAGTGATTTTTTTCCCCGCGACTTAGCGTCAGCGCTGCGTTTTGGTGGCGCCATGGTGTAGAACATTTCGCGCGTTCGCGCGCTATCAATAAATGTCAGCGAGGGAACGTCCCAAATGTATTGAAAAAAGTGCCTGGATACTTTTCTCGTCGCATTATACGCGGGACCTTTGCGCGGAGATCGTTGGACGGAAATGCACGAGAATTGCGTGCGCATACGCGTGTGGGTCAACATTTTTTCCCTTTCTCTCTCTCTCTCTTTCTCACCCTCTCGATTCGTTTCAATTCGTTCAACAATTACGACCGCGATTTCGCTCTTTCGATGTCATTCTCGCTCGCTCGCGCTCTGCGGATTCATAAAATCTAATCCGCCGCGCTGGTAGCCGCGGTCTAACCAGCAAACTTCGTTAGTACCTCTTTAAAGTTACCCCGTTTCTCCTGGAGAGGCCAACTCGTAGCATTTTAAGGCTTAATACGCCCCGTAACGGTGACAATTTATATCGCAGCCCCGCGCTATTTGCGTGCTACGTCTCTATTACGTTATTAACTTTTTTATTAACCCTACCGGCGTACTATACG